ACTCTTTCAAATTTAAGGTATCCACAGAAAAGCCAGTCTAAGGCAGCAGAATAAAGTTGTTGCAAAAAAGATAGCTCTGTTAAACAAATCCCTACCATCCCAAGCCACAATCAAGCCGTCATCAGTCTCCTTTCACAGGGAAGGAGCAGTTGGTCTGGCAAGCAGATGCTGTCTAGGGCTGGGATGCCTCCAGCCTGTACACAAACACGTTTGCCAGAGCCCACGGTCCTTTCGTCAGCCTGCACCGGTCCAAGGGTAGAAAAGGCTCAGGCACTCTCCATACATCAGTGAAGTCTCAATAATCTTTGCTCCGCTGTGGGGCCGGGTAGAGAAAGACCCTAGCCAGACAATGCTGCAGCCCCACTGGGACCCATCCTTCCCTTCTGGGAGCCCTGTGCCACGCTAACACACACCAAATTCCACCATCGGTCCCGTAAGCGAGGAGCTACCGCTCCTTTGAGGGAAGGAGGTAGGCAAGTTAGAGCTCCAATAAATTAAAGATGTCCAAACAATAACGGGAGAGTGAAGGGGCGAGATGGGGAGCGCGGGCTGAAGAGCTCCCCCCACTAAACCCCAAGCAGGAAAGGACGAGGGAGATTTCTGTACAGCTCGATCAGAACAGAACCAGCTGCAGGAATCCCAGCTGCTGTCTTCTTCCTTTGCCTCCTACATATGTTAAATGGATTTGCCACTTTAATATTCTTTTAGAGCAAGCCTCAAAGCAGCTCATTTACAATGCATAATGACTACAAGGCTCTGCTAGTAGATGCATTAAAAATCTCCACATTATGGCACAGAGAGCGAGCTCCCCCCCTTCACCTCCTTTTTGAGCAGAAGCTGCCACCCGTAACCTATTAGTAATGTAAATATTGTTCCCCAGCAAACAGCCACCACCAATAACCCTGCGTACTGAGGAGTCTACAAATCAGGATGCGGAGTCAGAGGTGGAAAAAGCAGCACGCTGGCACCATCCTGCATGTTCAGGTTGTAGTAAAAACTGACATTGTTTGGCAGCTGTATTAAAGGAGATTCTTAATTATACCCCACCCCCTACTGATTTAGCCTTCTCCAGGCTAAACAAACCCAGCTGGAGTTTCTAGCATGTGGACTCATCCAGCCTATCAGTCTTCAACACACATGCCATGCAGGTGTTTCCAATAGCAGCAGCTGCGGTGGCCCCAGACTCTTGCACATTAAAGAATTCTGAGCAAGGAACTGGACCAAGGAGGGAACAAGAGGAGTGACAGTATGGTTCAGCCTCATCCCCTTATGCAGGAAGTGTCTGGTATAGCAAGGAGAAAGGCATCAGAGGCACTGCACAAACATTTTAGATAGAGATGTACCGCACCATGTTCCAGGAGAAAGTCTGCTTTTTGTTCTGTTAAGGACCAGAAACTCCCTTTGAGAAGCAGCAGAACCCTACATCAAAATTCAATATTGCCAAATGCAAAGGGCTTTCAACTACTGAGTAATATTTTTACTTTGATGTTTAATTACCCCCTACAGTCTGCAAACCTCTCCCTGTTGCTTCAGTCTGCAACCTCCACAATAGCTAGGAAGCAAACAGCAATTACACATTTATTCCAACAGCATTAATGTAACCTGAGTGAGCTCCGTCAGTGCACAACTCCATGCTGCCTCGCTGCAAAATGTAAAGGACATTCTGAATTGGTAACAGGCTGCTAACTCTCTGCTGGCCTCCACATCAACATGGCTGATAAGGATGCAAGACAAAGCTATACCTAATTAACATATATGAATTTTAACCAGAAATCCATTCCCATATATTAGAAAATAAGCCCTGGACAGCTTCTGCCCGCTCCCCCCCATGGCTTGCTAACAGTTTCTCTGGTAAGATAAGGCAGCCTCACAGAAATACTCCCAGAAATACTCATTTGTGCCAGTGAAAAGACAGGAACAGAGCCCCACGAACACCTCGGCAGGGCCTGAAGCTTTGGGCTGTGCCTGATCTCAGATGTTACAATAGACAAGATCCAGGCTAAATGTTTTTGATGATCCTACCTGATACTACAGCTGTGATTGCTGCTCTACATAGCCAAAGGCTTGGTGAAGTAGAGAACAATAGAAACCGTGCATGGCATAGCCAGGCACTGGGCAAAAGGTATTACCCAGAATCAGACACTAAGGATTCTCAACAACACCTTAAGGGGAAAAAGGGATGGGCTGTATGATGTAGCGCAGTGGCTGCGAGACAAAGCCAGCCTGTTACTGCCCTAGTGCAAGGTTAGCTCTCATTAGCACAGGATGTGGTTTGTTCCCCAAAAGTAGAAAATTCCTCTCCTTTGCATTAGGAATTAGTTAGCATTGAATAGCCTAGAGAAAAGGAAAAGAATTCAATTGCCCCACCCCCTCCTGTAGTTTTGAAAACTTCTGTACAGTAAAGCATTATGCTGGTGCACAGGCTCCTACTGATGCAGGGAACGCGTGGCCTGGACACGATGTCAAGAAAGTACTGACCAGAAAGACTGGGACAACGCTCTGCGTCCACCAGATTCCTCCTGCAGCTGGGACCACGGGAAGGGGTACGTACACTGAACCACAGCACAGCTCAGGTTTCTTGGAAGTTGACCCTGATGCAGCTGCATTGATAAAAGCTCCTGTTAAGTTACAAAAGCAGAGCAGTTTTAATTACAAATATAGTACTTACCTGATGGCAAAGCCTCAGGCAAACCTACACCAAGCGCCAGCCTTTCCTTTGTTTCTTCCCTCACTCTAGTGAATTGCATAAAAGGTACACACTGCTTGCTAGGACAGTTTGGATGCAGCCCCTTTAACTTGTCTAGTTCTTCAATGCCATTTGATTCTGCTACTCTTACGCCCAGGTAAATTTCTGTAAAAGGCACGGCATAGCCATGTCTCAAGCACATTCAGAGGCTTCCTACCCTGGGAAGTGTCGTGAAGCCATAAAGCAAGCTGCTCTTGCATATGAGCAAACAGGGAGGAAATGCAGTTTGATCTTCACATATAAAATGGAATTTCCAACCCATATAGTGGCTGTTAAGGTCCAAGTGCTGGGGCTTTATTACTGAACCTGGAAGCAAGACTAGAGAAGTCAATATGGATTCGCCATCAGCTCCCCTTAAACTGTCCACTTCTCTGGAAGCATACCCTTCCTTTATCTAGCTATCTTTATTCAAACCGTTTCACTTCATTGAAATCTTAAATGAGATGCAGATTACTACAAAAGTTCACTTACTCCATCTCAGAGTTTCACAGATCTAATCTAGTCACCTCCAAGGAAGAAGGGCAAGGTCACAGGTGCCGCTCCTGCAGACAGTTATCTAGTTGGAGCTAGTCCCTTACCTGCTAGAAAGGACAACCTTTGTGTCAAGATCTGAGGGACAATTTCACAATGGCAGATGCAAAACAGTCTTGCTTAGCCTTTCACATCTAACAGGCTGCATTTTGTCCTCCCCCCAGCTATCTTTTGAAATGGAGATTAGAAAAAACCCAAACAAACCCAACCAATGTGGGCTCTAGAGATAAGAGGAGCATCAGTCTGCAGGTGACGCTGTGTTGAACAGCCTCGATAGTTATGAAATACTGTCACATAGAAGAATACAGTAATGTACGTCAATGAGTAAATGCTTCCAGCACTTACACTGCCAGGAGCAATGCCTAGTTAGACCACATTTGCCTCCACTTGGCAACTGCAAGACACTTGATAACATGTTTGTTTCTCAGGTTGATGGAAATTACAATTCTGATTCCAGCTCTGAAATTCTAATTTACATTTTTGACCTCCTCCAGTAAGTCTCCACTCCCTCCCCCCATTCCAGAAGGCTGGACTTCAGGTATTTCTTCATATATGTCTCAATGCAGAGACTAAGCAACTGATTGACATAAGAGCTAAACAATTCAGTAAAATACTTGCCAAAATAATTTTATTTCCTTTGAGCATTCCAATATTTATAAACATACTTTCTATAACTTTCCAAGACAACCTAGCAGCATCTGAGCACCGAACAATTCTTTGAACTTAGCTACAACTTTAAATTTTTTTTTCAAACAATTTTATGAAAACAGGTTCTCCTTCTGCTCTGAAAGTACAGAAGTATTTACAAAGTTGAATTGCTCGGCAACAGAAACAAGCAACATATTTTCTTTCATATAAAAGCAATTTATTTTCTTTGCAGTCTCATCTTGCAGGCAGGGACTAATAGAAGCAGATTCTTATAGGGCTTAATATAGGTCGCTGGGATACTAAAGTGCATCTGTTTGTTATCTCTGCATAAGTGCCACATACACTTCTCAGAAATAAGACTGACCCAACACTGGTATAGGCTTGTGGTTTTAAGGATTGGTTTACGCTGAGAATCCAGTGTTGGCTTTCCAGGGGCTCTACTTGTGGGTGATTTTCCTGGTTAGGGCAAGTTGGCACTTGTATATACAACAGGAGAGCTGTTCGTGTAGCTTTCAACACAACTATACTCCATGGCCTAAGATTAACTGGGCTGACGTAATAGTATTCAGAAAATAGTATTTCACTGTATTGGTATACACCCTTATTCAGGCTATGTATTTTTGCAAAATGAAAATATGGAGGTTACTCAGGAGTGCAAGTACATTTTAATTCAAGTCCTGAGCCAAATATTACTCTTAAATGACTGTCTCCAAAATGTCCTCAAGTTAAACAGGAACTGGCTGCAATGGTAAATAATACATCACCCTTTCTCTGAGGAGGCAGTGTTCTATGTTTTTTAAGTTTTAAAATTTGTTTTATGCTAATTTAAAGGATGATTTTGAAATTAGAAGTGTTAATCTTTAAAGAACAGTGGGCAATTCCATCTCTACGTGGTAATGTTGTTTAAGTAACTTTATTATTAATAAAAATGTAGTTATTTTACTCTGAACAAGAACACTGCATGTACATAATCTCTCAACAAGTGATCTAAAAATTCTCAGTCCTTAAAATAATTGCCAAACGATCAGCATTGATGAGAATTTCTGAGCAATGGAAAAAGAACCACAGATCACCCTTAGGACACAAGGTAAGCATCAAATTCCTGGCACTCATAGCAAGCAACACTGTCCAATACCCACTCTCGAGTCACCATGGCAACATTGTTCTTTTGCTGGATTGCTGTAGGACAAAGACACAAACGATAATACTGTTATCAATGATTAAAGCAAGCTTACGGTGAGCTTACCAATGTCTTTCAGATTAAGCTATTTGCTTTATCTTTGACATTTTAAAGGCCTTGATAAAAACCAAGAGTCTAAAACCAGTGATGTGGCACTACTACTTCTTTTAACAATGCAGGTAATACTGCTGCTCCCAAAAAAATAGCTGTTTGGCAAATGGTCAAGCAGGAAGTTTTGAACACCACAGAACAAACACTAAAAGCAAAGAGTGCAGGCCTTGTTATCTTTTCATTTAGGAACTGAGGCTCTGTCACCAACGTCCTGTCTGCTCAGGCATACTGAGTATGTGACAAGCAATGAGTCTCATTAAAAGGGAAGCAACAGAAAATTACTGAAGTGCTCCCAGAGTGTTCTTCACTGTTTCAGGAAGAACAGTTTCAGGTCTTTTTCTTTATTTTCCCTTTTTCCCAGTGCCATGGAAACAGCTGTTGTTTTCACATCATCCTCCTGCTCCATTTTTATTTGTTGAACTCCACTGTAGCCTAACTAGCTCCCATTCATCCTGTAACTCCCACTGTCTCATTTAGAAGTAAGTTAGTCTGGAACATTTGCACTTTCAAAGTCTCATGGTTCTCTGGAGCATTTAAAAAAAAAAAGCAAAGCTATTATCAGTTAACACTTTGTAGCTAGATAGTCTCTCCAGACCAAAAGAATCTTGTCCCATCTGAGGCTTTCTCCTAGATCTTACTAGTCCTCAGAGAATGCCTCCCCACCTTTTAGAAACCATCTCCAGCTTTACATAAACTTTTCTGATTGATTATATGCAGGACAAGTGAGCCAAGAATAGGATTTGCCTGCCAGACTACCTTTTAAGACTCTATTGCTGATGCTTGAGATAATATACCTTGTCCTTCCAGATTTTTCTTCCAAGACATACCTCCATCTCCAGATGCAGTATGATTTCATTTCAATTCCTCTACAAACCTCTCTGATATTTAACTATTAAAAGGATGGAGGGGATAAAGACACTCAATGTGTACCATAAAACTGTCCATGACTGTGTGTTGTTTTACCTCTATAATCTGTGTTTTCCATCCAAGCATCTGGCTGCACAACCACGACAGCAGTAGAATTCTAGGATTTTAAGATAAAAAATAAAAATGGTACTGTTATCTGTCTGTCATTAAGTCACTCTCACACCTCTCTGCAGAGTGTGGTAACTGGGCTAACTTTACTTCAGTGCATCACTTCAGAGAAGACATTAAGAAGTGGTAGTAGAGGGAGAAAGACATTAGTTCCCAAGATTTTTCTGTGTTTTCTCTCCAGGAATGCTGTGCCTAAGTCAAGGCACTAAAGGCTTTTTGCGCTGGAAAGTAAGGCTCAGCGCTGATTTCAAGAGAAATTAGCTATCTGGCTGTATGCCTGTAGGGCCTCCATAGAGTATTCTGATCCACTACAAGTTAGCCTGTCTTCTCACGCAGGCTGGCCAGAGCCTAGAACACAAGAACTGTTGCCATGCAGTTTGGCATCATTACCGTGCACAGTTCTCACTAACATACCTGTATGCACCAGTCTTTCACAAGCCCAGGAACGTCATGTGATCCTTCTATGTGGTGTATATCATGTTAACTATAGACTGTTCACTATGTGAAGCGTAACATTCATTAACACTTACTGTTGTGTGTGTGAACAGATGAAGTTGCTTCACTACAGAGGCACCACAAAGCTCCACCATCCATTCTAGATGTTCTGAAGAAATCAGAAAACAGTCTATTACTTCAATGTTTTACATCACATTGAAACTGATACTATTCCCTAAGCCCTCAAATGTTTGTTCCACGACAAATTATCATCATTTGAAAGAAATGTAAGCCTTGGTAGAGAATAAGTCCTTTCACTTTCTAGCCTCACCCTCTAAGTCAGGACTAAACGAAACAAACCAACCCCGAAAAAGCAAACCACCACATTTAAATTCAAATTGTGAGTTTCTCTTTATTTCTTCTCATCATAAGGATGCAAAATTAAAAAACAGAAGTCAGAACTCTGATTATCTCTCATTAACAAAAGTAGCCAAAGTATTTAATTTCCACCAATTTGTTGAATTGATAGTGAAGAAGATAAGTAAGTCTCTCAAGTATAAGAGCCATAACTGATGATCACTGCAGCAGGTGAAAGCACTGCATCCTCTGTAGTAATTACTGTAAATGTCAAGAGATGTGAGGATATTTCACTCAGTCAAAAATAAAGTTTATTGGACAAACTGGAAAGTACCTGCTGAATAAGCCACAAAAATAGGAAGACAGGTACAAATATTTTAAGCGGAAAAATTCTAGCTTAAATTTTCAAAACGTCTACTATACTTTATTCCATTTTAAACTAACAAAAAGCCCTGCCTTTTCTTTGTATATAGACTTCTGGCTTTGTTGTGTGTTTCAGTTAACATCTGATGCTAAAGAGAGAAGATTACACTGAGGATGTGCCAGCTGCTAGAAAAACAATATTTAGGAACTGTTTTCTAAGACAGAAAAAAATGCTCAAATACAAGGGATCAATTGCATCTAAAGCAATTACCAGGCAGTATGATATTAATGCTTTTCCTTCATTGCTAGAGAATCAGAGATAAACTCAATAAAAGGCCTGTTTTGAAATATAGCAAAATTGCCAGAGCAGTTCTCTGAAGATGTCCAAACAGAAGAGAACACCGTTTCCATTCTAACTGGAAATAGAACTGGATAAAGTTCTTTACCTACACTATACCTCAGGTAGGTATTCTGAAAGTATTTCAGAGTATAAGAGGTACAAGAGCATCCAAGAAGTCGTCAAATGTAAAACCCTGGTGAATGCACGCAATCCCCCTCCAAATATTTTTTCGTGCTAAGAGTTAATTTAACTCCACTAAAATGACACACCTGTAGTCATATCAGTGAAAGGTCCATAGCAACAGATCTCAAAGTCTTTAAAGATCTGAAAAATAAGAAACATGTTAACAGAGGATATAGGTATTTTTGAAGGACAGTACTTAATATACTGGTTTCACTGCACCTCTAGGACTGGTTATCAAGCTAGCACTGTTTCACAAAGTATATCTGAAGCTCTTTGTAACCTACAAAACAAAAGAATATCATCAAAACCCCCCAGCCTTGTGCTGTCCTGTACTGATGTTATAAAGACAGTATTCACTTTAAGCATACTGAGTCACTTGAGCTCTGTCAGCAGCAGAGCAGATCTGCTCACTTTTCATGTATAAAAATGCTTACTTTGTATCTATGGAACAGCAGAGAAATTGGAAGAAGTTCCAGATATTCAGCTAGAATAGCCATATATCTGAAACAGTCACAGCAGGACAGAATTTTCATCCCTGATGTGCTCGCACCTTTTCAGTCAGAGACTGTCTAGCCCTCTTCGGACCTTGGTGGTTTCTCCCATTGATTACATCTCCTCTAACTTCAAAGTTCTCCTGGAACATAACATAAACAAGCAGATCAGAAGTTACAGACTGAGAACACTTCTGTGGTCAGAGCTGTGCATCAGGACAGGAAAAAGCTGTCAGATTTCAGAACTGGAAATCTTACAATTAAGTGTGTACAGTAAATTAAAAGGTTTTTCAGGAAAAGTGATGGAAAGCGATAGTGAAATGCCTGCAGCACCAGACAATTTTTAAAGAAATAAAATTATAGTCAAACTGTAATCTAGCAAACAGTATAACAGAAGGGGCACACTCCAAGACTATAACTAACTTACCAGTAAAATCTCGTTTGATAGAAATTATCAGTACATCTATCCTACTCTATCAGTAGGAACACTTGTAAAAAATATCCCTATAACCCATTAAAAAAAAACAACAGGGACCCATTATGTCTTAAAATAACAATGAAAACATATAGCCTAAGTGTGGCTTTTGGTCCTAGCATTTGGTAAAACTAGAATCCTGGTTTTCAGAGCGAAGTTTCTGTATATTAAGTGTTTAGACAATATCTGAGGCCACTAATAGGTCTATCAACGTAACAGCATTGCTTACACATTTTACATTTCACTCAAGATAAAAGACCTACCTCATCCAGTATTCTTCCTTCTTTAAAGGACTGAACTACCCCTAAATAAAAAGATCAGAACAGGACAAATCATTTTATCCAGCAAAATTGTTCTTCCACTGCCAATAGCCTGACTTCATTAAATTGAAGGTATTTGTACTAAGGGAAACTGAATACAGTATGAAGCCTGAAAGAACACAGAATTTTTTTACCTCTTATAAATAATATTATTTTTGCACTAACTGATGCCATGCATCTCAAAGATTTAAATTAAGAGGGAGGAAAAGCTTTTGTCAGGGTGGGGAGCAATCCAATGTGGTTATTTGAAAGCAGGAAAAGTATTCAGAAAGAAAAGAAGCTGGATACTGCTGTTTGTTTGGGATTTTTTATTTATTTTAAAGTATTAGAAGAAACTCTGCAAATTATCAGGTGCCATGACACGAAGAGGGTTTTTTTTTTTTCTTAAACTGAAGAGTACACTTACGGTAGAAAGGCAGAGACCATTTAGCTCCAAAACAAGTTATACTTACACTGATAACTAACTACCCATTTTCTTCCTGCAATACCCAGAAAGTACTTCAGTGTCCGTTCACACACCAGCTCCTCATCTGCAGGGCAAAGAAGAATAAGATAGCTTTCAGTTTTGACATTAGTGAAAAATGTCAAACAGAGCAGCTCGGGTTCTTTGTACTTAAAAGCAAGTGTTTTTTGCTAAGCGCAGCAGCAAAATATCAAGACCCTCTATAGAAAGATTCCGAAATTCGAGTGTCCCAATTCTACTAAACTGAAGGAAATGAGCAGAAGCTAGTCACATCTACAACTTCTGAACCCTTTTTTAGTTATTCCATAAAGATACGAGGGAAGAAGAAGCAGGAATACTAGACAATGGACACTTAACAGTAGGATTCAGTGCCTAATGTTGGCACAAACTTTTAGATGACTAGCTATTTAAGATCTTCTACTCTACCAGAACACGCGTGACTTCAGATAGCAGTTTATCCTATCTGTATTTGTATGAAGACAGAACAATCTAATAAAAACATTAATAAAAAGATTCCCAAGTTTAAACAAAAAAATGCTGATAGAGAAGAAAGCAATTAATACCTTCTCTTCAAACTTATTCAAATTTATTGCCGAACTGTCTGCTTGTTGGTTACTCTAGAGTTAAAATTCTATGTGGTGTGTAAATATAGGATTTGTTCACAGAGCTCCCAACAAACCTGTTTTCATTATGACATGGGTTGTTCCTTTAGTAATATGATTAGATAAAGTGCTCTGAGTTTTTCTTGCAAACTTCTGGACCATCAACTGCAAAATAGTGAAGAAAATCAATAGCTAGCAAAACAGATTAAAAAACCCTAACAACTACAGTTTATAGGAGTATGACACAATAAGATAGTTACTTTAAAGTAATGGTTTTATTTGTGTTGGCACACAGAATGCACATTTCCTTAAAAGTCAGTAATTTTGGCACCATTCAACAGGCTAAAGTAAAGAGCAGCTCTCGGTCAGCAGTTTATAAACCAAAAGCCATATCCTCCTGGAAACAGATCATAGAAACAGGTTTATTAGCAATTCAGAATTGATTAGTTACAAAAATCCTCACTATGGATCAACATTGGGTAAAGCAGCAGCATCTGAGAACATTACGGGAACGAACCAACCAACCAGCCCCCCTCCAAGCCCCAAGGCTCCAAAGTCCTACTTAATTATCTCTTTATGTTGAGGACTATAGCAGAAATCAGGAACGATTAACAAGTGATCTCTAAAACTTCTGAAACATACTTACATGTTCACTTTGATTCAGACCTGATGCCACAATTGACATTTCTTTCCTGTTAATCACAGCTGAACTTGTAGCATTTTCTTTCCCAGCTGCATTGTGCAGAACAGATACAGGAAAACATGCGCTTCCCTTCGATTTACGTTCTTGAGTACATCTTTTATTAGCATTCTGAGCCACAACAGAATTATTTGCTGCTTCTGCAGTTCGAGGGTTAAAAAGCCTCACAGAGGAAGAAGAGTTATTTGTACTCTTGGTCACGTTTCCAGAGAGATTTGATAAGACAGATGCGCTGTTTAGCCTGGTTCCAGATTTCTGCTCATCTGCATTTTCTGAAGGAAAAGAGAAATTACTCCTTAAAACAATTTCATCCCTCTTGTAGCCATGGTGGAAGGCTGTTGCTCTGTTAAGTTTAAAAATGCTGGAGTCACTTCCTCTCCCTATTTGTTTATTACTTCACCTTTGCCTCTATCATTACTTTTCCCCGATCTGTAGCTGAGACACTACAATACTTAGAATACTTTTAGTAACATATCCGTCAAGAAGTACCAATTTATATGCGAGACAGATAATAACTCCCATTACTGTTAAAATGTTGTCCACCCCTATCCTGATGGGCAGCTATACAGGTGGGCTATCAAACAAAGCCAACGAAACAAGAAGTAACATCTTTTCAAATTGGCCAGGAATATATAAATTAAAATCTTTGATTTACAAGAAAAAGTTGTATCTTGCTGGTATGTAAAAACACCAAAAAAAGCAGGAAAAAAGCAGAAATCAAAATGTGTTGGATCTCTCTTAAATGTTACCTCCTTCAAGCTGACACTGACTATATTCTTGCACTGCTTCCTGCACAGGTCTTTTCTTTTCAGAAGCTTTGTTCTTCAGAACACTGTTACACTGACGGCCTTTCTCCAAATCTGGTCTCTTTAACGAAGAGGATTTAGAAGATGGAAGCAACAATTCAGGAGACCTTGAGAGAGGGAAATTGGTTTTAATACTTTTTTTTTTTACTCTTCTAAATATCAGAACCATGTAGCAACAGCTAAGCTATTTTAATTGCTGAAAAGCTGAGAGGTATTTATTTCAAGATTTTTTTTTTCTTCTGTTTAATACAAGATTAGAAATAAAAGTAAAAACCAAACCCAAACCATTTACCTTTCTTTTTCTAATTCTTTGGTTTTACTGTTGAGAGAATCACTTGGCATAACATGGAATTCATTGGCTGAAAATCCATTTGAACTGCTGCATTTATGATTTTCAAAATTTCCTTCCGAGGTTGACTCTGCCCCTTTAAAAAAGAAAGATAATTCTTAAACAAGCAAAATTAAAGCAACTGTTCTTAATTGTTTCTCCAGGTAAGAAGTCAAGCACTCAATCCAGATACACTTTAGAAAGGCAAGTGTCCCAAAACAGAAATCTACACAAAATACTAAGCCATCTGAAGCACGGCTAATGACTACATTTTATTTCACATATTAAACCACCTACAAAACTAAGATGTCAGCTATGTATTAGGTGGAAATTAGGTATTATTAGTACTGTTTGTTTATGAATTCTCAACACATTACCGTATCTCTGTTCACAAGCAGTAGAGAGGCATTTGATAGCTAAAGATGCCTATAATTTTTATCAAATGATCAGTAACTCTAATCAGTTTAAGTTTTTACAAGTCAGAAATCCATATTCTAGCATAACAATGTAAACATGCATTGTATTAATGAAATTATTTTAAGTAGTTTTCGCATCTGAAGAAAACTAACCATTGATTTGCTGACTTAATTATAAATAGACTGCTTGAAGATTATGTTATGAATTTGGCCTACTGGGCTTAGAAATGTCACATTTCAAAGTCCTCTCTATGAAAGAATATTCTCAAACTGTAGTAAGGTTGAATGCCATGCAATTCAACGAGCTTTGTTAACTGAGCGTGGATTGTAATCAGTCTCTTAGTGTTAAAGTATACTGTTAATGTTTTAACAGCTCAAGAAGTCCAAAAGATGAGCTAGAGAGGAGGCTGAAAACACAGTGGAGCTGCTAAATCAGTAACGCAAAATCAGAGAGGATTACAGTGAGTTTCTTCCACAATAAACGGCCCTAGTTTCCTGTCAGGAATCCAGGTATCCAAGCAGCAGCCACAGTAGGGAAGGATGCCGTTACCCCAGATTTTTGAAAGAAGTGAACAAACCACTGTGTACCTTTCAAAGGCTCAGCCTCTTCACTTTTTCTGTCTTAGCTCCCTTTTCTCCACGAAGGAGCTTCCTGATGCAGACTACACTCTGACAACAAAAACTAACTTACTAACACACAAGCAGAAGACCTATGGGTATAGCTGCACCGTACTGGCTGACAGTTTCACTTTTTTTTTTTTTAAGATAGAGGATAATCTAAAGGTCTCATACCTCACATTGTACAATGACATCATTCAGGAGATCAAAAGCAATCTACAGAACCTACAGATTGTTTTGTGATATTTGACTAGCACCCACAGCAGCGGTGGTCCAATACCAACCCCTGAGGAACACCACTTGTCACTGGTCTCCACCTGGAGATCGAGCCATTGACCACAAGTCTTTCAGTGTGACCATCCTGCTAATTCCCTATCCACAGTGGTCCATCCGTCAAATCCATGTCTCTCCAATTTAGAGACAAGGATGTTATGCAGGACAGCGTGAAATGCTCTTCCCTTGTCCACCAACACTGTAACCCTGTCATAGAAGGCCACCAAATTTGTCAGGCACAAATTGGCCCTAGTGAAGCCATGCTGGCTGTCACTGATCACCTCCTTATTTTCCATGTGCCTGAGCATAGTTTCCAGGAGAATCTGCTTCACCAGACTGCCACGACCTCTCCCTTTGATCCTGACCCATAAGCTCTAGGTCAGCTCCTCATCCATCCCCTGATGGAGCTCCATGCACTCCAGCTGGTCATTGACATAGAGCACCACACCCCCTCCTCATCTCCCCTGCCTGTTCTTCCTAAAGAGCCTGTACCCTTCCATCCCAACACTCCCAGTCATAGGAGCCATCCCACCATGTCTCCATGATGCCAATGGGATCGGAGATGTGCGCATGCCTGCAGGGCTAACTCCTCTTGTTTATTCCCCATGCGATGTGTGTTTGCATAGAGGCATTTCAGTTGGGCCTCCGATGAAGCTGACTGGCTGGAGCAGCTGGAATTCCTTTGTGCCACACTTCAGGTGCTCTCCTGCTGACCTGCGACCCTTCTCCAGGCTCTGGGCTTCATTGCTGGTACTGGCATCAAACTGGCAGGATTGGGATGGATTGAAGTTCTCCCCGGTAACTTTAGTTTAAAGCCCTTTTCACCAGCTCGGCAAGCCTGTGACCAAAGATGTTCTTTCCCTTCTCTGACAGATGGGTCCCATCAGCCCCCAGTTTTAAATTAACACTATAATTTGTGGTAGAGGGGAAAAAAGAACTATTAACAGTCACACAACTGTTTGTAAGAAAGCTGGGAAAGCTTTCCATTGCTATTTACCTCTTTGTCTCATTTGTTCCATTCCAAATGTTCCTTCACTACTGGAAGGTGGCAGTTTCCTATGGATAGGTAAAAATTCACAGTCCTGGCTTCCATGCTGCTTTAGAACTGCTTCAAGTACAGCCATTTCTTGCTGAAGCTTTTTTAGGTTACTTTGCATAGCATTCTTCTGCTGCAAAGGATTGTGCCAACATTAGCAAACTCAGTTTTAAACAGTAAGATTAATTTCTTTAACAAAGGCTTGAAAATTAGAAAGAACAAAATTATGTGGTGCTTTTACTGTACCAAACAACACACACACGCTATGTCAAAAGTAAAAAAAACCCCACCCCTAAAACCCCAAACAAATTGCAACCACACAGTCATTTTGCTGTTCACATTATTTCAGTTTAGATGGCTCACCAGAGTTTAATCAGTCAGGGATAAAAGAACTTCTGCACAGATTTCTTAAGTCCTTTTGTCCCAACTGCATTAGCCACTTAATTTAAAATTTAATAATGAACAAACATTGAGCCTCTATACTTTCCACCATTACTGAAAGCCCAAAAGACTATTAAAAGGGATTAAATATTTCATCCTACTCTTCCTTACTTTCTCTCTCAAAAACTACAATATCCTCTATTAAAACGTGCCATATACACTTCCTAGTAAGAAAAGCTCAGGGCTTCAAAGGATCCTTTTAAAAACTTAAAACCTTCACCATACAGGATAAAGCAGTTTCCACAGCACTGTGAATACCACATTTGTAGCTCTAGCACTGGCACCATGTGGAACTTCCTTGTTACTGAATCAAAAAAACCCCAAACCAAACAGAAAACCCCCACCACGCAACAAACAAAAAAACTCCCCACCAATCCATACTGCCACTATTCCATTCAACCCAGGCAAATCCTAGAATCTCTATCAATGAAGCTACACCAGGGAGAAATATCCTGCCAGTTGAGCACATTTTGCACTGATGCAATAAACCGAAGAACCAGCCATAAAGCACAAAACCAAAATTCAATCTTTGACATACATTAAAATCTATAGGGCTGTTAACACTGAAGAGAGAGATATGGCATAAGACCTACCTTGAAGTTACAGAGGACAAAAAAACAAAACAAAAAACCCAACACCAAACCACCACAACAAATAACCCACCAAACAAAGCCTCAAAACCAAAACACAGAACACACACCCAAAACTACCCAGCTGGAAAAAACCCCAACACCAATCACGCAATACATCAAGTCTGGCCGTTAAGCAGTAATCAGGAAATTAATAGTAGAGAAAATATACTGTGCTAGACGTACCTTTCATTGAACACTGCCTGTTGGGTCTTATATTTATAACAGTTTAATATGGAAGGATTCGATTTTTATTCTTAGAAGGCAAGTCTCCATGCTTCTAAGTATCATAATGTAGCAAATCCAATTCTTATCACCATTCATTATAAATTGCTATCAATGAAGCTTTTAAACACAAGAAGCTGAGGTTTCCAGCATTAGTCAAGCATGGAGATTCATTAACTAGCATCTCCCACAATTAAGCACTGTAATCAATACCACCATAACAACTTGTGGCCATTAGGATATAATGTAACCACGGAAGGCAAAGTTGGACAAATAACGGCACAGAAGCAGTTCTACAATTCTTCATTAATTACGCTCTTGGAAGTAATCTAGCAACAAAAAGAATTATGATGAAAGCAGTTTCCCAGTACACTGACTTCACAGCTTACATGTACTTGCGTATATCCTAGAATGCAAACTACTTTAGAATTTAACACAAACTCACTTACCTGTGTGGTAAGGATTTCATCCTGAGAGAATGGTCCACATGAATCTTCTACAATACTTGTTTCACTGTCATATCCAGATGCTTCACCTCGAAGAAGGTAGAAGAAAATCTTAGTTAAAAAAAACCAAACCAACAAACATTATCCATAATCTCTTACCACACAGACCTTTTAGCCAACTGTTAACTATAATGATAAAGTGACATGTTTCAAAAACATTTAAGTTAGAAGCACAAATCTACTTTAAGTGAACATTTTGAAGACTACCATGCCACACACACGGCAAAGTAAATAGAGCTCAGTGTTTCAATAGTGTTGAAAGAGTCCTAAATATTTATGAAAGCCATAAAAAGGTCAAAATAAGCACTACAGAATTCTGTAGCCAATTTCAACAAACATTTCATCTGGGCAAACAGCTTAGGCAGGCTTTAGGGAATTTTGCTGATAGATCCAAGTATCACATTGCAGTAAGAAAGCTAGCATTTCACTCAATTCCCATCAGCCAGACTCAGTCTGGCCTCTAGTACCCAGTCTATTCATTTGTGCTCTGGACAATGAATACTGGCAGAACTTAATTTTCAGGAAATAAACCACTGAGGGTTTTTTGTTTGCTTGTTTAGGGCTCATCATTCCTTTAAAACAGCAAGCACCACATAAATACAGAACAAAGTTCCCATGCAAACACCAAAAACCTAGGTGCAATGACATTACAAACACAGCTGCAGAGATAAAAAAAATCTTGGTTTGTACCTAGGTTTGTTCCCCTGTTTGGGTCTTCTTGGCATTCATCTTTGAAGTTTGTTTTGCTTCTCTTCAGCCCTCCATTACAACTTTGAAAAGTTTCTTTCCTCTCATTCACATTGTGCACTTGTTTGGATGCATGAACTTGTACTAAAGGTTTCTTCAGCTCTTGTGCTCCATCAACTGATTCATCAGACATGTTGGACTGAGAAGAAAATAAGTTGACAGAGCATTCTGACTCCTGGCTTGGTGAAACACGCCCATTATTTTGGGCAGTTTCAGGCATTTTCTGCATATTCTCATCATGACTTCCATTGTGAGGCAATGTGATGGGACTTACTGAAGACTCTACCACAGATGTCACTTGTTTATTGATCTGCAAAGGTGTGCTTACTGATTTGCCAAATAATAATGTCTGAAAGCATGGTAAATCTTCATCCTCACTAGATTCTTCATCTGAAGATTGCAGTTTCCGCACTCTTCTTCGAGATCTTTGAATACCTTGAGATCTTGGCTTAGAGCTAACATTTCTATTGTTTAGTTCTTTTACCAGGGCATTGTCACCTCTTTTTACAAACACAGCAGATTTCTCTCTCTTATCAGTTTCAGAAAAGCTGGTGTTCTCTTCAATATCATCATCAGAGCACAGCAAGCCATCTGGGGTTTCAGAAAAACCTGTAAAATCACTATTCCCTTTAAGAGGTTCTTTCAGAGCCTCTGTAACTAAACACTCAGGCATCCCTGTGCTAGCAGTTTGGGTTGCTTGTTCTTCATTCCCCTTTACTTGTTTTCTTTCTGTTTTTCTCATTGATCTGGACTGCAAATGCAGTTTGCCATCAACAACTTTGGCCTGTCCTGCTTGATTGTTTTCTGAACTGAAGCATATTTCATTGACTGCATTTAAATCAGTTTTTATGAAAATGTGCTCTTCTGTATTGCTGTGATCACTTTGGCTTCTATTACTTTTGATTAGATTCTGCCTCAACTCACTTTCTACGCTTATGTCAGTTGACACTGTCTTTTCACTTCCCTGCTCTCCACTTTGCAATCTGTTTTTGTCTTCAGTCCTAGCAGAACCCATTCTTAATGGTGTCAGAGTCCCTTGATTTGCAACTGCTGAAACATCTTCTTGACATTCCCCTGCATGCATACATTCAGTGTCGTCGACAAAGCAAGTCACAGGACTTACACAAGCAGGTTCATAAGTCTTAAGCTTATCTTTCTCACAAACTGTACTCAAGCTTTCAGCAGTTGTTTTCTCTTCTTGCAAGTTTTCTGGTTTTAAGTATTTGCTATGCTTATTTTCTACCTGATCAGCACGTGATATCTTTAAAGTTCCAGAAGCAGCATCTTCTGCTGCACGTGCTTTCACAGGAGTAGGATAAAGGCTAAATGACAGGCGTTTGGAATGCCTAAATATATTTCGCAGATACTGTGTGTCTAACTCACTATCTTCAGCTTCCTTGGTCAATTCTGAAACATCTTTAGTTACTGGTAACTTTTCAGTTTTTGAGTCCCCTGGAACATTTTGTGCATTATGTCCATTATCCTGGGGAAAAGTAGTATGTGATTCAGTCATCTCTTCAGCTGGGCAGCAAGTGCTTTGCACAACAGTCCCTGAACCAGACTGTAGGACGAAAGGGCTACCTTGTATGTCACCTTCTTGAGAACCTGCATCAGGTGCAAAAGAACTACCATTTGAATGCTGACATGAAGATGTAGGATCGAAGAGACTTTTCCCAGTTTCTGCAGTGTCAGATGAATTCTTGAGATTAATCTGTGTTTCATTTGCTTCCAGACCACCACCCTTCGGATTAGTTAGTGGCTTGTAACTCGGCGTACTCTGGGGCTCACACAGGTCTTTGCATTCAGAAGCATGAACTAACACATTCCTTTGGACTCCATAGAAAGACCCTTCATGATCACTGTCATACTTTTTTGCTCCCTTAGTTACTACTCCTTTTCCTGTTTCTTTTGTCATTTCTTCAGAAAGTAACTGAAGCCTCCTGCTGCGCCTGACTTGTCTTTGCTCAGAATCAACTTTCCTTGGTTCTTCACTGCTTGGATAGCTATCAATCTGTGGCTCAGCTGGATCAGGGGAAACAGAGTTTCTATCCACTACTAACTGTAGAGCACACATGGTTCTAGTAGAACACCTGCATCTTTTTGCTGCAGAACCTCTTCTTTTAGTGCTTTTCTGATCACAGTTACTCAGTTCTAGCTCCTCATCACAGTGCTTGCCAGTCACCTTTTCAGTAGCTTTTTTCCGTATGGATCCTCCTCCTCCCTCAAGTTCTGCTAGTGTATTATCCTCTCTATTCTCAGAAAGGTGGCTCTCATTAACAGCAGAACTTTCATCACATCTTTTCTTTTCAGCATCTCCAAGGCGGTTAACGCTTTGAGGGCACCCATCTGCCTCTGCTATATCTTTTTTCTTGATGAAATCCTCAGGTTGCAGGATATGGGCAGTCTTCCTCTTTCTTTTTAGTCCATCTTTGATGGAATTATTCAAGCACTTATCAGCAGTCACATCTTCCTTTTTTGTAGTAGGTAAAACATCTCTCAAGATAATAGGGGCATTTGACTTCCTCTCTCTCTTGTATGTTTTCCCAAATATTTTGTCTTTGATGCTATCTGCTGTTCGTTTTGACCATCTCTTGTTTCCTTCAACCACTGCAACTTCCATGGACTCTACCATAGGGTCAGTCTTTTCTGAAATAGAGGAATCTTTATCTGATAAACATGTATCTCCTTCACCTGAAATGTCAGTTGCCTCAGCAGAATCATCCTGGGAAGAATTGGAAGACAGAATCTCATTGCTTTTTGAAAACCATTCATTGACCTTCTGAATGCTTCGCTTCAGTCTCTTCCTAGAGACTTGATTCAGGGTAGCACAGTGAGGTGTCTCTGGTTGAAGCAGTTTCTCCGGAGGAAATTCTTTTTCATGGAAAGAATCATCCTCAGGTTCATACATTTCCACAGCTTCCACACTTTGTCCAACAGTATCTATTTCCTTGCTTTTATCCAGCCTGCTCTCTGAGCTATCTTTTAAGTCAAACTCCTTGCTTTTACTATTGCATTGAGTTTGCTCTGCATCCATTTCTTCTGTGTCATTAAAGAAAGTGTCCCCATTCCTTAAGGGACTGGCATTACCTATTCTGTCACACTGCTCTGTGAGTAGGTCTACAGCAAGAACATTTGAAGGAGAACTCTGGTATTCAGTGATATTGACTTGGCCAGGTTTGGCACATTCAGTGATGCTCCGAGTGCTTTTCTTGCCCAAGCCTTCTTTCAAGAAATCACTCTCACCTGAAGATTTATAGGTATTATAAATTATTAAGTCCTCTTTTACACAAGAGTAATGACAAGCTTAACGGCTACTTTGTTTTAAAAATCTGGTCTTATTTCCCCCCACAAACAGAAAGTTACATGGCACAAATCTCCCTCTAGAGAAAGGGAAAAAGATCAAATTATGTAGGACTTAACATTCATCCAACATCTTACATTAATTACCAGACAGTGCTCTCGACTTGTATTGTAAGGGATAATATGGCTGATGTAGAATAGAATAAGTTTTGCACTTTGACCAAGTTACTTTTTTTTCCCCTTCTGTTCCTGTGCACAGAATATCCGCATTTTAAGTATCTAGTCTACAGGTATAGTCTTGTATTACACTGTCACTAGCTGTAGGAATCAACAAAACTGCAGTATACAAGACTGCAAGTATATATATTGAATCACGTGAAAGCAAAATGTTAACTTGTGGTCTTTCCTTCAAGCTTAATCATTTTTGTCACCAGAATAACAAAACACACCTATGACATTTGGTGGAATTATTTCCTTAGCAGCCAGCTTGCCAGGCTGTGTATTGCAAGAATATTCATTCCACTTCTCAGCAGTCTTAAGTTCTTCTAGCTTTTCTTGAGATGAAATTGGAAGCGCTTCTTTGTCTTCTAACCTGTTGGGAAGGGCAATCTACTTTCATTACAGAGAAAGCCACAATAGGCATAACAAAAGATGATACTTAATTTTCCCTTTTTGCTCCCTGAAATAGTTTTTGGAGAAGTCAAGCTGCATGATTGACACTTGCCAAAACTAGATCCCTTCAGAGTTTCAGGCTATTTCTTTAAAAGATCCTCTTCCACATTCCTGAATTTAACATTTACTTTCTAAAGCATAGTACCTGCTTTTCTCTTGAAGATATAATGTCTGTGTCAGCAATAAAACATTTAGATAACAGCTGTAAAGCATATTATATGACAAAGTGATGGGAGTCAGCTACCCATTCTACCCTGATGTCCTTGAAGTTGAAAGTCACTTGTCAGCTTGAAGAATTCTATCAGTCTTATGCTAAGAAACTAAAACATAGGAATGAGAACACTAAACTATTGTCCTTAGAAAAGATGAATTCCATAGTCACCTTTACTTACCCAGTATTGCTTGCCTGTTTAAAAAGCTCTTCAGATGAATCGGAGCCTGAAAACAAATCAGCTGTTACTCTGGTTGAAATGATTCAGAGAAAGATGACTTGCCAGTTTCAGTGTTATCACAGAAGCATGCATGCTTAGTTCTTCCTAGAGGTGGATGCTTTTGATTTTTATCAGATGAAATCAAGTTCAATTGTGCAGTATTTTACCTAATTACAATTATTTTTATGCATAAATATCAACATGGCTCCAGCATAAAATTGTGTTTAAATACAGTGATTGGTAACAGAGAGCTACTAAGAGTTAATTAGCTAAGAGTTTCTAATTTCTAAACTTATACATTAAACAGCTGCTAGTATCTGGAATTTTGAACTGGAAGTCAGAGCAATATATTTGAATATCTGTCTCAGATCCTTTGATTGATCTTGGCAGAAGCAATAAGGAAAAAAGAGAAGCAATGAACACGATCCGTTAAAAGAAGCAATTCCTTCCTTGAAGGAACAGGGAGAAGAAACTACACACAGCATATCTTGTTTGTCGCAGCAGTCAGCACCAGATAAAGAAGTTCTGAAAAGCTAGGATAGACAGAAATGAAATGTTCTTTTCTCAATTAGATTTCATTCTTATCTCTGGTTATTAACCAGAGCCTCAAGCATTGATGACAAGGCTTAATACTCTTTAGAAAACAGTAGTTATCATTAGTTATAACAACTATAACTTTTTCCACATCTGTAAGTATCTTTCTGGATCTTGTACACTGAGCCTTAAAGGTTTACTACAGCAGCATTATTTCCTACAATATAATAAATTACGTAAAAACCCCTTTTATTTACCACCTTTGAATTGTCCATCATTTGTTCCTTTGTTCTCATTTTGGGTGTTAAGCAGAAATTAGTTGAACTTCATCACCTTTCATTACTTTGCAAGCACTATACATAAGCCCAACTAGTGCGGATCTAGAACAGATCTTACCAAACTCTATATAAATTCCTTTTTCAGAGTCACATTTCTGGGTTTTGTTTCTTCGGGGACGCTTTTTGACCCTGGTAAGCTGTGCATCCACATTAGCTCCCTGCTGATAGGAGAACAGAAAGGAATAGTTATTTATAACAGTAGACTATTTCAAAAGTAGTATCCATTACTTAAACTACAGCAGGAGGTGCTGATACATACGAACTAAGTATTTAAACTGACAGCCTCTATACAAAAATCCAACACATGTAATTAATCATACTGATATAAGTAATGGAATGTGTTAATAGAAGCAATTATCATACATTTAACAGCTCAAATCATAAGTTTTTATTTTACTTTTTCTATTCAGCATCAAGCAGATGAGACAAGAAACAACATACCGTGAACAAACTCACACACACAGCAATCACCTTAAGTTAGGTATTATCTTAAGAATTCTTAAGACATATTCACAGCCTTAAGCACTAAAAAAAGTGAAAAGCCTACCAATAGTTAGACAGTCTCATTAAGCAAGCAGTATGAAAAAGCTTTCAATCCTAGTTTCAGTAACAGAATATACTATGGCAATATTATCTTTAAGTTCAGGTCATTTTAAGCAAACAACTTTTTAAAGTAGGTTAGGAACAAAAAAAATAATATTTAGCTGTCCTTGTCTGGAATAATATTCAAGTCAAACAGTGAGCTGAAAGCAAACCAAACTCTCCTGTTCCATTCATTTATGTATATGCATGCATACACATTCCAAATAAAACACCAAACGATCCACAAAAATAAATTGGGAAAAAAATACCAAGGTGCAGTTTTCTTGTCCATTTTCTTTAGCACTTTTTTTCCTGTTTCTGAAGCCCTTACTTTGGATGACAGAACTTTCTTTACACAGGAACTCAGCAGCAGTGGCTTCTGTGGATGTTTTTGGAAAGTGATGACTGTTTAAAACTGAAAAATGTCAATAGGAAGAAAAAGCAAAAAAAATTTCTTGCACTGAGCATGACAATAGGTATTACATATTAATAAAATAGCCTGGCATAGACCCTATGCAATTAGTACATATACAGCTAAAATTCAATTATCAAAGAAAGAAATTCCATTGAATTATTAGTCTGATCATTCTTTATGAGTACTCTTCAAGTATTAAGTAAAATCTTTGTCTTGGCAACTAGTTTTCCCAGTTGCTTATACTGATAATGTAGCAAGAACAGGATCTAATACTAGTGATTTTAGAATGACTGAACAAGTTGAAAAGATTTTGAAAAAAAAAGTCTAGTTTTATAGCACGATATATTAAGAAAAAAAAACAAACCCCAAAACCCACAAAGCATCACCCACCCCCAACAATATCTTGTTTCCCAAATATAAACAAGATGTTTCTGGACTTGCCAATACTCTTTACAAGGTGCTGACTACTCGAAAGGATAAATTTGGATTCCAAAAGGATATACCTGAATGCAACAGGTTAACATACCCCATTGTAGTACTTCCTAATTCAGGCTCTAAGACTGTCTAAGTTAAAGCTGCAAGGTGGGGTATAATCAAGAGCAGGACTTAGCCACACAGTTATAGATTAAAGATTATTTGATACACGTTCAGCCATATTTCAGGAACTGAAAATAAGATTGGCTGAAGTCATCAAAAGCACAGTAAAAACCCTTAAGACTGTTCAAGAGGTTATGGTAGGAAAACCTTGGGAACTTAATGGAACTTATGCTTCTACATCCAAGAAAAAACGTGATAATTCTTCTCACATTGAGTACTGCACAGTAAATGAGATACCCTGCAAATAATTATGATACAAATGTCAAAACCTTATTTAAGAAGTGGGGGGGTATACATTCACAACACTTACACTTTACTCCAGTGTCAAGCTCAAATGCACGGATAGTTTCCAACAATCCTTCAATTAGTTGCTTAAATCTGGAATTTTCTTTCAGACTTCTGAAATAACATCACCAGATGAGTTGTTTTAAGATAAACGTATGGGTCAACTATTCATAGTTTTACTAGAATTTACACTGAATAAAAAAACCAAGGAGTAAAACTCCAAAGTGGAGGATGAGACAATGAGAAATTGTTGCCAAGGAATAACACCACAATTTCCCAAAACAACCATTATTATGGAAATTAAAACTATCACAAAGTAAAAATTTCATATTTCCCTCATGTAGGTTTAGCAAAGAGAAACTAGTTGTAACGATTGAACAATAGTTCAGTCCATACTTGATAGCACAATCATTTGCTAAGAATGGTGTCTTCACCTGTGATGACTTGAAAAAAGTTTATATTGAGGTAAGGCACTAGTTAGTCCTTCAGAAACTGACAGTTTACTGAATAACCATATTTTCTTCTTTATTTCAGTCTTCTGCCAAGACATTTTTAAGACAATGATTAACTTTTCCTCAGAGTTCAAACTTCTCATCCTCAAGCCCGCTTGCAAAGATGCCTTACCTCTTGGTAACTTCAGTCTTACACAGCGGACACTCTACCACACCTTTTTTCTTTTTGCTGAGGAGTTTGAACATGCAGAACCTAGGAAAAAAGAATAATCATGATGGTAACACAAGGAAGAATTTTATTTTCTTTAAAACTGAGCCTAGGTGTGTACCACTGAATAAAAATCCTTCATTATCAAGCTGAATGTCTGTATTCTTCTTCTGGTGTTATGATGAACTAATCAATTCCCTTAGACACATCTGTGAAACTGCAGTTATTCCTTATTCAGAATTTATTTTTCCCCTAAAATAGCTACACATTAAGTTATTGAAACACAGTATACATCATTAGCACTAAAGTAGTATACGTGGAGAATAAGAACAGATTGACTAAGCATCACAATTACAAGTTTGCAAACCTACCTGCAGAATATGTGATCACATTTTGTCGAAACTGGTTCTTGTACCACATCCAAGCTACAAAAAGAAAAATGAAGGAAAACAAGAACACATAAGTTACATATAAAATAGGAGCAACAAAATAAGATTCAGAAATACAGTCACTTTTCTAAACTTAAAAAAATTATAAAAAAATCTTGGTGGGGAAGGGAGGTAGGACACATTTGACAATTTTTCATTTGAGAACCAGGTACAATAACAAATACTGTCATTATTTGATATATAGACATATCTACTGGCTTGTCACAATCTTTGTCTGCCTCTGGCAAAAACCACAGCATTTTCTGGAAGTGCCAGTCCACCAGGACAGGAAACATGGTGTTGGAACACTAATGTTTTCTTTTTCACACACTGACCTCCTGTGACAAGAGGAAAAGGCAGCTAGTTCTGTTTGGGTTCAGGAGCCCACTAGACTCCTACTATGTTTGTATAAACCAAATGCACAGTCGTGTCAACACAAATATTTACGTTATTCCTCCCCCCTCCTCCTCCCCCGTTTTCTATTCTAAATCCACTCCTGTCTAGCACAGTGTGAAAATTAACATTTAACTTGATACTAGGGCTTTCAGAAAAGCTCTAACCACTTGTTCTACTCACTTTAAAATGTTATCTACCTTGAACACATACTAAAACCAAACAAAAAGTCATTTTAAAAACTACTGCTGTAATTTAGGCATATATTGTGTTGTTACAAGCTCTAGTTACATAAGAAAGATTTCATGAGTTTCACAGACTGTGTATCTACAGAAGAAAGCCTATCCATGACTGTGTTCTGCCTACAACCTAGTAGTATGCAAAAAAGTTTATATAATGATTCCACTTAAACCACCACAACAACATAACTTGGACAAAACCAGCCAAAACAAATATAACTTTATTATTGCAGAACACTCTGACTTGAGCCTACAGCAAAATATACACCAAGAGCCAAAAGCAGCCTCAGCATTACTTTTGCATGCATTATTCATTCCCCAATCTCATTCATCCATATTTTGAGATGTATGAATATTTTAATTTGCTATAATAGAAAAGAAAGATTATACCTTTATACCTTAATGTCATATATGGAAATAAAGTGAGAGAGGCCCAACCGTCACCATATTCACAGCCTTCTGCCCAGTTAATAATTACCAACAAAACTGCTAGGTGCATTAAAATCCTGGTTTTGAATTGCCCTTCACAACGTGTCTTGCTAGTTAAGCCAAACAGTACACACTTCCATGATCTTTATCACACAAATAAAAAAGTAGACATTGAAAATCTCCATTCCATGTTAAAGTCAGCTTCCTCCAATCAATCAGCAGTACCAGACTGTGTAAAATCACTTGAGATATTTCATTATTACATCAAATTCCACGTGCAATAGAGGACAGCAGAGGTAGGAAGCAGTTTCTATTCTAGCTCTTGTAACGTTGTTTGTTAACATCCAATGACAATACCTCAGCAAAATGCATGCTGCATCTTCAGAAAAGTTTGGATTCAAGTTTTTCTGTGTAGTGATACAGACATTCTATGGTTTCTGCTCTGTGTCTTTGTAATAGATGTTATTACCAACACAGAAATTATTTTGGGTTTCCAATGGCAGTAGAGTAAAATCCTTCCAAATGGACTTAAAAACATAAGGACTTAAAAACATTTGCCACCGTAGACAAAATAAGCTTCAGCTGTTTGGTTCAGCGGAAGCAAGTTTTTCAAAAGCTTATCATTCTAGGTATCTCAGCTTCAACTAGAATCCATGCTATTTCAGCATTTGTTTGCATGACCTCACTTACCTTTTCCAGACAAAGGACAAAGATCCAGGCTGCTTTACAAACAATACTCTGATCCAATCAGCTACATCTTTTTCCCTAACTAGATAGAGGACTGACACTTTCAGGTTGTAATAGAAAAAGCAAAGTTTATAGAACCTAAGAGCAAAACACAGGTTCTGTCTTGCACTTTCTCACTTGAGCCTTACAAAGCATCCATATACTTAGCCTTAAAATACAATTCTTTTTGCTTTCTGACATCCCATAGAAATGACAAAGCATTTGAAAAGAAAAGAGACAGAGAAAACCAAAAGACTCATTAACTATACTAATGTAGAGTTCACATTATTCTCCTGGCATACCATATTGGGCACTCCAAATTCTTCTGCATAGCCAAAAGCACATTTTGTACATCTTCAATAGCAATCACTGAGAAGTCCATCCTTCACATCAAAAAATATTCTGCAGGACAAGGAAAAAAAAAAAAAAAGAGTAATCAGCTTTGTCAGAAACAAAAGCATCCCATGACCATGTTTTCTCATGTATGGCTTTTCTGTAATATGCTGAACAGTATGAAATACTTAGCTGCTATTTCTCAAGTGAGGCTTTGCAGCATTGGTAGAGTTCTGATTCAATGTTTACAGTTAAAGCCTGCCAAGTCTCTTGCAGTCAAAGGGGCAAACCAAAAGGGTTTAATGGAAGTAGCATTCAGTAGAAACCCAGCAAGGGCATAGACAAGCATAACAGCGAGAAAAAGGAACTTTCTAGGTGGAAAAGGATATAAAGGAAACCACAGACATAGAACCATAGAATCTCAAGGTTGGAAGAGACCTCTAAGACCACCAAGTCCAACCGTCGACCCAACACCACCATGTCTACTAAACCACGTCCCGAAGTGCCACGTCTACGTTTTTTGAACGCCCCCAGGGATGGTTCACCCCCCCCAGGGAGGGTGCCCCCCCCCCCTCTCGGGGCAGCCAGTTCCAACGCCTGACCACTCTTTCAGTGAAAAAATTTTCCCCTATATCCAACCTAAACCTCCCCTGACATGTTTACACCAAGGACCCTGGGAACTGCCCACACCACCCAGCACAGGTAAGACCCTACAGCAAACACCGCAAATCCTGACAACAAAGAGAAACCCCTCAACCTTTACACGGCGGCAGCTCGGGAACAGGGACGGTCCCTGCTGCGAGGCCTATCAGCACGCCGGAGCCAAGCGGCCCAGCACCCC